AGCACATGATAGATGCTTTAGCGGTATCTATATATATGGCGTTAGATACCTTATCAAAGCTTCTTTAGTTGCTGAAAACTTTATTATTCTCAAACTTGTAGGGGGGTCTTATAATTTTGGGAACCCCTGTACATTCAAAGTTATTGTTCTCAAAATAACACATGTATAGGGTGTAGATGTGGGTGGGTATCGCCGAAGGTAGAACATCCACACCCTCGAAATGCGTTCTTTTGCTGGAGAGTGGCCTTCTCTCTTTTGCGTTGATACTGTCGTGAGCTGAAAAACCTTGTATTGGTTTGCGAGATCGGTACCCGAGAATATGCTGTGAGAAGTTATATCGATTCCTGCGACCTCGGCAATCCTGTTCTGGTTTTTCAGAAAAGGGATTTTTTTTACAAAGTACATGAGTATAGCGATCTATAAATAGAGCTAATAACGTGCCTTTTGAATGCCGTCGAAAATTTAACCACAAAGCTTTTTTTGATGTGAGAGTGTGAAGAATAGGATAGCTATGATATAAATAATCCATACCCACAACCATACCCGTACCTCACACCTCCGCACCTCACCCACTCACACCCGGTGGTATTGTTTAAAAACAGCTCCAATAAAGTCTTCTGTGACCTGAAAAAGACCGTGTCCAGTTTTTTATAAACCTTGTCATCATAGGCCACCTTTGAATATTTGAGATAGAAAACCCCATTGGCTATTAAAATCACTATCTGGATTTGAGTTAGATGCTTAACATTATAGAAAAAAATCTAAAATACGTTGAATTTCAACTTTTGTCTGCTGCTTTATGTTCACACGTCCTTCGAAAAAGTGCTCCCATCCTTCCAAAATTCTAGATCCGCCATTGTATCGTTTTGAAATAGACACTATGATGAGTCATTTCTTTCTTTTTTTATGATCTTTGAGGTATTCATTTAAAATGCAATTTTTTTTATCTTTTTTTGTGTAACACCATATTCTAACATGCTTCAACGACATCTTATCTATTCGTTTATTTTTTTTCGTTCTTCGTAATGCTTATCAACACAAAACAATCTGTTTTTACTAAAGATGAAAATATTCGAATTCAAAATTCACAGATACAAATTAAAAAGATTATCTAAGTTCTCTCATAAGAGTAAAATAAATTCAATTTATTAGCAAATATATTCATCTATTATTAAGAAATCGAATTGGAAAAATTTCTATATGATCTTATACATTTTTTTTCCAGTTTTTTATCCTACTTGAAGATTTTCACATTGAATTAACGATATTTTGTAAGTGACATAGAGCATTTTTTTAATCAATGAAAAGTAAGCATGCTCATCAATTTAATTAGAAATTTAACTTTTAATTTTTCAGACAGTCAATTGTATATTTTATGTTTTGGTACAACGTTAACAAGTGTTGTAATTCTTCTAAATTATTTTCAACAAAGAAAAAGAAAAAAACAAGATGAAAAACGAGTATGTTTATTTATTTCATTATTCATTGATTCTCATTATTGATATAGAAAAATGAATATTTACAATGTAAAACATTATCTGATTTCGAAGAATTAGCTAAGAAACCAATGATGTCACATCGTTTTTATTATTATGACTACAAAGCTGTTCAAGGACATACATATCAAGCATGTTGACATTAATTTGATAAACAATTAAGAATTATGCCAAGAGTTTTGATGGATGTTAGTGAAATTTCATTAAAAACAACTATACTTGGGTGAGAAATTATTGAAATATAAAAAGCTACGATACTCCTATAGAGACAGATTTTACCCATTGAGAAGATTTTTTCTAGTTTTTGCTTCGTCACTATGAACTCAAAATGCATTTGTCAACATTTATTATAGATCGATATATGAATCACCAATCCTAATTGCTACATCCGCTTGCATTGTCTTGCTCATGTTGATGGTGAAGTTGCCACAGTTCGTGCTGCAACTGAAACTCAATGTATTTTTACTTACAATTGGACGTTTTCAAATATGCCAGAAGAAAAAGTTCTACAAACACTCGGTATATCCTTTTTTTTCTTTTCTATCTCATTTTCTCTTCAATGTACTTAATTATCTTAGGTCCAAAATTTTCACATATTTATTTAACAACACCTGTAGAAAAATAGTTCCACAAGCTGATAAAAAAGGATATCGAGCAATTGTTATTACATGTGATCAACCACATGAACGTATTCGAGATTTTGTATTACCATTATTTGAAGAAGCATCAAAGAATGTTGATCCAGAATTAATGAAGAATATGTCAATACCAAATTTGAACAAGTAACGTTCATCGGATTCCGATTCACTCGTCCCTAGACTGAAACACGATGACATGTGATATGACTAGATGTGAAGATGAGACTATCAAAGAGTACATCTCTGACCGAAATAAAAAAATGTGCTACAAGGAAAAAGCCGAGTGTTTTTGAATTTCGTAATTAAAAATCAATTAACAGTAAAATCAGTTTAAAGTTCAGCAGGTGGAATTACAAAGAACAGAAATATACAGGGTTGGAAATAATATTATTCCAGGGGG